GCAGGAGTTATCGGAACGTCTCCTTCCCCCCGTGAGGGCAAGCTTTCTCCTGCCGTGGATCCGACCACACATGGGACCCTCTGGGTCTGTCCCCCCGGCTTCCTCATGCCTGAAAGCTGCCCAGGGACTTCCGAGTGTGGCCACGGCCCCTTCCCAGCAGTAGAGCCTATAAAGCCACTGCAAACTCTGAGTGAACAAGCGCTGGACCAAGCCCTGGGGTGCAGGGTGGTGATTCCCAGAGTTCACTGAGGAGGTGTATTCTGAAAAACTGCACGAACTCCAAACTTCCCTGCACCACGGTAAACGCATACGCCAGCTCCGTTTTTCCACGGACTCTTGGGTTACGAAGCCCTGCAAGCCTCGGGTCACACGTGTCGGAGTCAGCATGCAGCCCTACTCGCGGGCACGTCTATCTGAGGACACCGTCCTGGTACACACGTCGACGCGCTGACACTGCTCGCAGCGGCAGCCCTGGGCCCCAGCACGCACCGTCTGCTCTGGGAGGTGCCTGGTGGCCCCTGCTCTCCCAGACAGCACACAGCACTTGGGCACTGCCCACTCCCCGTGGCCAGGTTATCAACAGGAACAGCAGTGAGAGACACGTGGCCCTCGCCGGGCTGAGGACGCCGTGTACTACTGACAGCTGAGGCTGGAAGGCGGGGCTCCGCCCTGTGGCCTGTTCGACCCGAACACCGAGCCAGGCCACTCTAATGTCCCGCGTCACACATGTCCAGGAGCGGCCTCGCGAACACGTGAGTGCTGACTGAGGAGTACCCGTAAAGAGAATCCGCGAGTAACGAGGTGGACTAGGTTGCAAACTCCCTTGACCTGAAACCAGTGTTGCCTCCTTCCCTCCCAGCACCCCACTTCCCTCCCTGCAGGCGACATCGATGTTGGCCAGGCCCGATGGTTTGCGGGTGTGCGAGCAGTGTCCGTGACCGGTCCCAGGCACTCGGCCACTCCCACACTTCCCGTCACCAGCTGTCACAGTGGCATGGGCCCTTCCTATGGAGCCATGGTAACCGTAACATCAGCATGGGGCTGAACCTCACGGCCTGCTCGCTGTCCCCAGCTCTGTCCCGAAGGACACACGGCTAGCCCCTAACTGGGTCCACACACCCATCCCACTGGTAGAAACCATGACTTCTCCCACTGCGACGAGCAAACACCCTGAAGCATGGTCATCCACCCTGGGAGTGCGAGTCAGGAGGCCACGGGGTCCCCCAGGTCCAGGGCCTGCACAGCCTGTGGGGCTCAGCCTGGACACGCAGCCGGCTGGAAGACAGGCTTGTGTGAAGGCGGGCACTCTGCGGTGACTGACCTCGGCCAATTCGCCACAGCAGACCGAGCCGAGAATTGTTTTACCAGAAGCGAGTGCTCCACTGGGACAAGCAGCGGGGGACGTGAGGCCCGTCTGCCTTCACAGCGCTGTGGCCCACCACCCCTGAACATCTGAGCTCGCCCTGTCGGGATGACGGGATGACGGCCCCTCCTCCTTTTCCTTTAATAGCCAGAGGGTGTGTGTGTTCCCCAGAGACAGGGAGGGAGGAAGCACCGCCGTGGGGCAGGGTCGCACCGCGGTCCCTCTCCTCCTCCCCGTCAGGTCAGGGTTTTGGGCACGCGTGCTCTTCGGCTGGATGTGTTTTTCAATCCAGGGGCCCTGGCGGACAGTGGCTGGCCATGCAGGATCCGAGTCCCTTAGCCCCGGGGCTACAGCGGGCCAGCTCTACCCTGGAAAGTGTGAAAGGCTGCTGGCGTTGCCGTGCTGTGCTCCCGGGAAGGGCAGAGGGGGCGTCACCCCCTGAGCGCACCTGCCACCCCAGGGCTGTGACAGTCACTGACCTTGCGGGGCCTCCCACAGCTGGAAAGTGAAAATCAGCTCCGTTTCACAGCTGCGCACCGAGGCCCAAACAGGTTAAAGGGCTAGCACCCTGGCCCCGAGCTCAGAAGTGGGGAAGCTGGACCTAACCCAGGTGCCTCCACTCCAAAGTCCCGCGAGGCTACCTGGGTGGACCAGTGGGAGAGGGCAAGCAGTCTTCATCTATGACTTACACCTGTCCTCAAAGAGATCCAAACGCTTTCCAAACCCCAGCGTGCTCCTTCAGGCTCAGGAAGGAGTGGCACAGCAGAGCGTCCCTGTGTGGGGGACAGAACTCTGCCCCGCGTCTGCCTCTGCGCTACCGGCCAGCTTCCCGCGGTTCTGCAGGACGGCCGCTAGGGGGCGCCACGAGCACGCGATGCGCTTCACCGTGGCTTTCGGGCCAGCAGGCCTTCCTAAGTGGGAGCGGCGGCTTGTCCCAGCTGTGGGCTGCTGCCAGCGGGAGAAATCGTCGCTCACAGCCTCCCAACTTCTCAGCTCTGATGCAATACCGTGGTCTGGAGAAGTTTCAGGGAATGGACTAAAATTGAAAACTAGGACAAAACCGCGGGGTAATGAAAGGAACCAACACTCGCTTTTGGTTATCCTCTGTTCGGGCTCCCTGTTTTCTACAGTGACTTTCCACGTTTTGGAGGAGTGTGTCTCATCAGTGCTGAAGGTCTTCAAACCACAGCCAGTTAACTTTCAGTGTTCAAAAAGAAAACAGAAAGCTGCACTGTGCTTCATGAAGGACTCACATGAACTGCTAAAATCACCACTAGGATCTCACATGAGGAGCCCATGCCCGTGGGAGAGGCTCGTGGATCCTGGAGGGAGCACTTCCTGCCCAGCCGGGAGAAGGCCCGTGGCACAGGGGAGGTGAAAGGGCAGTCGCCAGGCCTCCCCAGGCGGGGTGTCAGAATCAACTGGGGGCATTCTCTGAACGCACAGCCTGGTCTCTCCTGCGGTCCCTCTGACAGGACTCGGGGTCTCCCCAAGCCGCCCTAGCGACGTAGAGGTGCCTTGTTCACACACAGAAGCATGACCTGGCATGACAGGGGTGAGGGAGAAGGTAAGCCTTCCCCTGCCCTGGGCTGCATGTCGGTAGCAGGCCCTGGTCATCGGACCCCTGTCACTCTAGCCCTGTCTACACACAAGTGCAGGCCACTCTCGCTTGGGCACCAGTTACAACTTCTATTTTGCTAAATTTTTTTAAAAAATCCCTATCACTAGGGACCAGCAGTTAGCGTAATGGCTATGTCACTGGACTCCCAGGTAGTCGACCAAGGTTTGAGCCCTGGACCCAGTGGCTTAAACTCACATCAGGTGCATGTGCGTGCGTGCCCAAGATCCCGAGAGGAGAATGGAGGAGAAGGGATTGCAGCGTAGCCATCTCCCCTGGGGGGTGATTTCTCACTTTCTGTCTCTCTGTCTCTCTCTTTCTGGTGAGTGCACGCACCCTATAGCAAAAACATCTCCAATCAATCAATCAATAAAATAAATGGTATCACTGAAAGAGCAAGTGGAATTCCCAAACCAAAATACAGGATAGGATAGTATAAGACGTCAGGACACTGCCAAGGGCAATCTACTCAAGTATTCTGATGTTAATAGTCATTTTAACCCTAATGCTATAACCGCAACAGCTTACCAGACTGGCTTTGTTTTAGCTTGAAAAACACTAGTAGAGAAGATTCTTTTAGAACGGCCAGTCTGACCCACTCTGGTTAAAGTGGGAATTCTCCGTGTTTGTGGAAAGCAAGTTGACCGTATCCAAAGCCTTGAAAATACAGAGCATAGAAATTAGAGCTCCATGCATTTACCCCAATAACGTGGTCCTGTGTGCATAACTACCAGGCTGCAAAGATGTTACTCACAGGCGTATCGGTCATTTCAGAACAGCGACTCGCCAGTGAGAGCCCGGGTAGACAAGCTGCAGAACATTCCAGTAACGCCCAGCTCCCCAGGAACGAAGGCAGTGCCTGTCCCTGAGGTGGACACAATTCCAAAGAAAACTCCCATGAGAGACAAGGCTTCCCAAATAACACAGAAAGCAGTACACCTCTGGCGCCAAATTACATGGAAATACTAGTACCGGTGTGTGCTACATGGACTTACATATGCACGGCAGGGTACATGTCAGTGTCTGTCCACAAAGCATCCACACACACAGACGTACAAATATGTACAGAGAAAATATGTTTTCAAGGAAAGAGTATTTGAAAGCATCAAATTATGCCTGGTGACTTCCAACCAATGAAGCCAGAAACTCATTCATATTTCTTTCTTTCTTTCTAATTATTTACTTTATTTTTTATTACTATTATTTGTTTTAAATTTGCTACAGGGCACATGTGCTTATCAGAGAGAGACAGAGAGAGGTAGAGAGAGAGAGAGAGAGAGAGAGAGAGAGAGAGAGAAAGAGAGAAAGCGAGCCGCCAGGTCCAGGACTTGAACTGTGGGTGACCATGTGGGAGTCCAGCGCCTTAACCACCATGCCATCTGCTGGTCCCCACTTGTTCATGTTTCTAATGGTCATTAAACTGAAAACCAAAGTTTACACCTACAGAATTTGCAATTGGGTGACGGTCACTCAAAACCTGTGATAAGGGCAAGGAGAAATACAAGCAGCAGGCTACGTCCCGGATAGGCTTGTGTCCTGACGGAAAAACTGAAAACATGCGAGGAGACCGCCTCTCAGCGCTCGTGTGAGAGAAAGCTTTTAGGAAAACATTGAGGAGACTTTCAATTTGGTTTTGATATGAAACTGATGTGCACAAGTAATGCAGTCACTAAGCCGGTAATAAGATCTACCCCAGTGCCATCAACCGTTGAATCCAAACAGAACTTCAAGCACCTTGTGAAGTAGGTTTAAGGAAGTCTAGATGCCTTCCCAGCTAACTACTCTCGGTTACACTTAATCAGAACTGCATAAACAAACTCAGTATTAGTCACACTTGTGCAAGTTATTCCATTTCGCTGTGGCCAGGAGAGATTTTCGTATGATCCTGTTTAAACCAGATGAACATCTGGAAATGTGGAAACTCTTCTGTAAAGTGCAAGAGGACCACACGCTCGATGTGGCTGAGGTCAGGCCCAGGGAGGCTGGAAGGGGAGAGCTTACTGGAGCGAGCTTACTTACGATGAAGCCAAGTTTTTTATAATCCCGGGTGTACATGGACTTGCGTTTCTCCATGCTGCCACTGCTGTTATTAGGTTCAGACTCTGCATCGAAAGCAATTCTTCGAAGTTCAAATATGATGTCCCTCTGAGCCTGAAGGAGTGAAGGAGAAAGAAAACGGGAGGGGCAGTTGTTTTCATTCTGTAGTGTCACATACCCCCC